AGGGAAGGGAAGGGAAGGGGGGAATTGCCTGTCAGAGTCCCCATGGGCAAAAGAGGATACGGCTGCTGGGTGCTTAGTTCGGTAAGCTGCACTATCTGACTGGGAAGCCAGGAGTCCAGAGCTCCTAAAGGGAAGAGCCAGTGTGGCCAAGCAGCCTCGTCTGAACCAGAAGAAGGGGCTGGTCAACAGCTTCTGGGTACTTTATACTGAGGAAGCCCTGGCAAGGGGAGCCATCAATCAGAACTGGGCAAGTCTTGCAAACAGTAACTCTCTCTGGGCATGTCTGGCCATCATTGCTAGATGCCCAGGTGCCCTCGTTCTGCCGCCTGGCCCTTGGCATGCCTGGCCAATAGGATGGAGCGGAGGAGCTTCAGAGGTGACTCACAAGATGGAAAAAAAAATCACAGGAGCAGCAGCAGCAGCAGCAGCAGCTGAACCCCTGGGCAAGGAGCTGCTGCCACATCCACTGGTAAGGTCTCTGGGCTCCAGTGGGCCTGGAAAGATGTGTGGAGGCCATTGGGACTCAGACCTTGGTGGGAGCCTCTGACCAGGCTGCCACTGCCTGCCTTCCCTCTGAGGTGCAAAGGGAGATGCAGTTGCTGGAGCTGGCTGCCTTCCTATGTGGGAAGGATGTGACGTGTGTGTGTGTGTGTGTGTGTGTGTGCGCGCGCGCATAAGGATTCCAAGGGGCCTTTGATTGAGTGTTCTCATTACATAGAGTGTAAAATCCACTCCCCGTTGCTCCTTTCTTCTCCTGACCAATCTCATTTCACGCTTGAGGGGAGGGAGCACGCAGGGGAGACGATTCTGTATTCTTAACGCTGCATTAAGCACATCTCCAAGGTAACATAGCAACAAGCCAGCTCAGCATGTTTGCCTTCCCCGGGGAGTGGAGGAGGGTGGCTTTTTCCAGCTGCCAGCTCACCAGGTGAAGCCTCACCCCCAGACCTTTCCAGGTCTTTCCAGAGGAGCCAGGCCATGCGGGTGCTTACTTGCTGCTCAGAAGAAGGCCTAAAGGTCCATCAGGCAGCCAGACTGCACAGCACCCCACCTTATCCCAGTGGGACTGCCCCCCCCCGGTTTCTGGGCTGAGTTTCAATGGCTGCTATATTGCATGCCAAAGCCCAGGGGGGGAGGGTCTGGGGCAGAGGCCAGTCTTTGCCCAGCATCTTGCCGGAGCCTTTGCAGTCCAACCCATGTCCCTTCCTTGGAGCTGCAGGAGGCTGAATATGTGGAAGACACACACACACACACACACACACACACACACCATTTTGTCCTCCCACCCTGCCCCTCAGGTGTGATAAGGAGAGGAAGGGACTGGCGGCCTGGCGCCCTTCAAGACATCAACTCTCCTTCCGGATGACCAGAACGAGGTGGGTGGGACGAGCTATCAGGGTAGCTGCTCTGCCCCTTCTGGACCTCTGAGCTCTGCTTCCTTCCAGAACCTGCCACAGACGGATCTTCCCAGAGACTGGTCCCCATCTTCCTCTCTTCCTCTTTTCTACTCCATCTCATGTTTCAGTAAAGCCTGTCTCTCTTTCAGCTATGTGCACATGTCTATTTAGTTAGAATCAGACTTTTCTACCTTAAATGTAACATTCTCAATTTAAATATTTGATTTTAATTATTTCCCCTGCCTCGTGGCACAGTGGTTAAACTGCTGTACTACAGCTAAAATTATGCCCACGACCCGGGGTTCAATCCCAGGTAGCCGGCTCAAGGTTGACTCAGCCTTCTATCCTTCTGAGGTCAGCAAAATGAGTACCCAGCTTGCTGAGGGGGGGGGCAATGTGTAGCCTGCATAATTTACTTGTAAACCGCCCAGAAAGTGTTTGAAGTGCTATGGGGCGGTATAGAAGCAGCACGCTTAGCTTTGCTTTTATTGTGGTTCTGCAGTGGGACTGGTTGCTCATGACTGTGGAGGTAGAGGAACAGGAGGGCACTGCGTGACTCTATGGAGAGCATACATATTTTCAGGGAATAAAATCATGGCAAGCACCCTTCTGTGAGTTCACAGTCACCTGTGCCTGTGGAAGCATGACTAAACAGTTCTGTTACAGGCTCAAGGGCCAAAAGCTACATCAGAAGGACACCATATACCCAAGGAAAGTGGAGACTGGATAGTAGAAACTACCATTAGAAAAAATTGCACAGAATGGTTGTGGAAGAGAGGAACTGCAGCAAATATAAGAGCAAGGCTGTGTTCTATAGAAATTAATTGATCATGATATTAAGGAAGACAGAATTACCTTCCAGGATGACTGCAAAACAACAACAACAATAACAACAACAACAACAACAAAGTAAGACTGACTGCAAAAAATGCAAAGAAAGAGAGGAGAGATAATTATTAGGCATGTTTTCTGCAATGAACATTTTGTACAGAGCCAGGGAGCGTGCAGTTCATAATGTTATAATTTGTCGGAGAGCCAGTTCACAGCTAGAGGGCTGAACTGTGACTCAGGAAATTCAGTCAACTTCTCACTGAACAATGAAAGTCACTTGGTGACTTTGGATGGTCACTCTCTCAGTCCGATCTCACAGAGTTGTTCAGAGTAGGAAAATAGAGTATTTTGCTCCCTTGAGCTCAAGGGAGAAACACTGCAATCTAATGCAACTAACAAATAAAATAGAAGAGCAAAGTGACAGAGCCTGCATTCTTGAAAGACCACTTCTGGATATAGTCCTGTGTCCACCCAAACCCATAAACGCTACCTAGCCAGCTGTAGCTACACTACAGCTATAGCTGCATTCCTCCAAGTCGATAGATATTCCTGCCATCTTGGCTCACAGAGAAGGAAATGGGGCACAAATGGCAGAAGCATGGACTTTTAGCTGCTCGGCTTTTATAGCTAGCACTACGGATTTCTGGTGGCTCCAAGACTTCTCCTGTTCTTTTCTTGTTTGTTCCCTTTAGAGGTTGCACAGTAGAGATGGTTAGCTGGTGGAAGCCCTACTCAGTTCTAGATCAAGACAGAGGATCAGCTCCTGCTTTCCTCTGTCCTTCTTCCCCCATAATGTCCCAAGATTCCATGGCCTTTGAGCATCTTGTTTCATCACTGGACTGTTCCCAACCATCCCCTTTCTCTGATGTCTTCTGTGAATTATTTTTCCCTAAAAATTATTTGTTCACCTCTCTAAACCTTGGATTTTCTCCAGGTCATTCGCTACTTCTCTTGTATGTTCGAAATGGATTGTGTCATTTTGCATATACAAGGTCTGCATTCAGAGAAATGGCTGTTCAAGTATAAGCTTCACAAGTTTTCAGAGTCTACGACACAAAAATTGCTGCTTATTTTCTGTAATTAAATAACCATCTCCAAACATGTAGAGAAAGGAAGGAGGGCACCTACCAAATAATTATTTCTCGTTATATTCACGAAGGCTTTCACGGCCAGGATCTAATGGTTGTGGGTTTTTCGGGCTCTGAAGATGCCGGCCACAGAGACTGGTGAAACGTTAGGAAGAACAACCTTCAGAACACGGCCAAAGAGTCCGAAAAACCCACAACAACCAATTATTTCTCATATTAGATTTTCATCTTTGAATTGACAAGGAAGGAAGACCATCACCCCACCCCGAAAAGCTAAATGTTCCTCCCTCTGAATGATCAAAGCTCTCCCCACCAGGCATCTCCTGAGCTTCAGGAATGGAAGCCCCTTGGGGAGAATCAGAACTTCAGCCCCAAGAGAGACAGAGAGAGGGAGGGGGGAGGGAAGGAGAGAGGGAGGGAGGGAGGGAGATGAGCAGAAGCCTGACGTTGGCAGGCTCACAGGCTAGTGGCTCTGCAATGCACAATCCACCTAGAGAGGAGATTTCCATTTTTAAAAAACAAGAATCCTCCACCCTCACTTCCAGGAGTATTTGCAATGAGATGGCATAGCATCATATCTCACATCACTTGTCGCAAATGCTGGCCCTCCTTGTCTCTGAGCCTTTTCCCTCCCTCTGTTCTTTTAAGCAGAGGAAACCCCAGGCTGGTTTCTGGCTGATTCCACTCAAGCCGTGGGGTATGTGGTCAAATTCCTTCTCAAGCCCCCCTTCTGCTGTTTTCCCTCGGGAGTTCCCCTTACCTGCTGCCACCATGCCAGCGATCGCTGAAGAGCCGTAGGTTCCCTGCTGGTTGGTGGGAATGTGAGGAGGGTAGCCAGGAAGGGTGGAGCCCACCGCCTCACGCCCTGAAAGAAAGACAACCTGCATTGGCACCATGGAGCAAAGATCCAACGTTCACCATGCAGATGGAATTCTCCTTGTTTCAAGAGTTTTCTGCTGAAGTGTTCATGGTGAGCTCTGATATCATCAGTTTCTGGGTTAGCTCTTTCAAGGCATCATATCAAACATAAATGTATAAAATCACAGCCCAGAATAAACAGCAGAACACTTAAAAAAAAAAAAGACACAGCAACAACATAAAATAATATAGGGTGCTACATCTGTTGATAAAAAGCAGCTTAAAACAAGCATAAAGAATATTGAATGATTTTCATTTATAGTAATTATAATGTATATAACTCATTCCATTTAAACCACATCCAGACTGGCTTACAACAAATATGCAAAAAAGCAGACTTAAAAATAAGCAGGTTAAGGAGACCAAGAGACAGTAGGTAGCTTCCCCTAATTGCGACTGGCCGTTGATGGCCCAGGCAGGATGGCAGAGGCTCCTGCTGCCCTTTGGGTTGACTCGCCCCACCTGGCTTACACCTGAGGCCAGCCCTCCTAGCCCCTTCCAGCCTTCCTGCCATAGTTTTACCCCCTCCCAGAATTCCTGGCCCTTGCCTTTGCTGGGTGCAGCCTCTGGGAGCTGAAGTTCAAAACATACAGAGAAGGCCCAGGGACCAAGAACCACCATTCCGGAGGAGATGATCCATATACCCCACAGGGGAAAGAAAAGGAAGATCTTTATGAGATGGTGGGAAACCATGAGGGATGGATGGAGCCAGGCAGGGCAGTATAGCTGCAGAAAGGGCCACGAGTGGGGTGGGGCGGTGAGGGCTGCCAATGCTTGCCTACTGGAAGCAAAGAGGGATCTTTATGGGGCTGGAGCTGGAGCTTTGAGCCAGAACTGGAGCAGCTTGTGGGCACAGTAGGCCACAAGCTGAACTCCCTTGCCTCCCACAAGAGCAAATGAGAAGCTCCCTAGATAAGATCACACTGACTTCCACCCACAAGGCAGGGATCTGCTAACATGATCCATTGCATCCTTTGCCAAACATGCCCTTCTGCACTCTACACAGGGCAAAATAACAGTCTTTACACAAAAGAATTAATGGACAGAAATCTTACATCAAGAATAGCAACAAATGGGAGACCCATTTAAAAGGACTGAATATCCGAATGCCTCCTTGAGTTTGCCCCTGGTGTCAGCTTGGATTCCTGCGTTGAGCAGGGGGCTGGACTCGATGGCCTTAGAGGCTCCTTCCAACTCCATTGTTCTTTGAGTCTATGAGTCCATGTTATTGTAGACTGACCATTGAAATTATTCACCATCTGATTGCCTATTGTGTTACTAATGAACCATTGTCACTTTATCCATTATCTGCATCCTCACCTGGTCATGGGGCCATGTATAATAAACATGACATCCATATACTCTCACATGAGGAAACGGATTTCATCTACAAAACATTGCATTGAAATATAACAATCCTTAAGGTGCCACATTTTTGCCTCTTGTTTGTTTGTTTTCCCTTCTTTTGTTTTTGTTTGCAGTTATTATTTGGTCTGATACGTTTCTTACAGCTGGATGCTATGTGTTTAACCTATTCTCTACTCTGGCCCTTTGCCAGTTCCTGCACAATGATCTTGACTTGAATGTTTGCAAATCTGCTCTCAAGATATTCAGACATTACATTGTGCTAAATTGAAATACACATTCTGCCCCTTATTCACAAAAAGGACTTTTGACCAAAGTGTATACCCTGTTTTCCCGAAAATAAGACCTAAGCTGAAAATAAGTCCTAGTATGGTTTTTCAGGATGCTCGCAATATAAGCCATATCCCAAAATACACCCTAGTTAAATGAAAACCCGCCCTCCACCACTGTGCAGCAACCAGAAGATGATATAACTGTATTTGAATAAATGTAGATTATTGTACATGGGGAAAAATCCCCTGAAAATAAGCCCTTCTGCATTTTTTGGAGCAAAAATTAATATAAGACCCTGTCTTATTTTCGGGGAAACACAGTAGAATATGCTCTGAGACAGGAGTCATGGTTGGCAGAAGAGAGGGGAAAGGGGTTTTCAAATGATGTCACTGATACACAGGGAAATCTAATTTATCTAGGAGGAAGCAGTCACTCTTCAGGATCAGCTGCTAAATGAGCATTTTTATGCTTTTTTTCCTGTCACTTAAAACACAGAAACTTTTGGGAATTATATGAGTAAACTATTGAAGATACAATACACATGAAAATAAAAACAAAATATACTGTGTATGTGTATAGCCCTGAGACCTAATTATGATGTTCCATCTGTCTGAGGAAGCGTATCATAATCCATGAAACTCACTACTCTTTACAAAGTGCTAACAACTTCTTTGTTTTTATTTTTGTCCTGAAACATACCAACATGGCTACTGCACAGAAAAATAAATATGGAATGGTTTTATGTGTACTCAGTAGTGTAATTAGCAGAAGCCTTGCTTTTCTGTGTATATGAAGAAACAAATGGGGAACAGAATGACTCTTGAAGCCAAACTTTATAAACATTTAAACCACAACAAGTCATTGATTATATTTATTGTGTCAAATTATAAATATTTGTGTCTTATCAACCAAGTCTCTGAAGTCTGTAGCCACAGGGAGGAAAACAGTTCCACTTTCCTTTCTTCAAGGAAGTTCTGGTTATTGAGGCAAGAGGCAAAGCACAGGTATCGCACAATAAACCTTTGAGTTAATCTTCTTTTTAACTGAGCAGTTGACTTTCAGTGCCCAAATCCAAAAGTGCTACTGCAGAAGGAGTCTCTGCCAGGCTGCTAAGGAGGAGGTCTACCCTCAGTGTAGGAAAGAAAGCAAAGGCTTGCATAGAGAATCTGGGGGCCCTCTATGGAGGCTGGTCTAACAGCACCCACAGGGCAGGGCAGGGCAGGGCAGGGCAGGGCTCCCCCACCCCCTGACCCCAGGCTCCAACTCTCTTCCTCTCTCTCTCTGGAGAGGGCCAGTCTAGGAGGAATAGCCGCTAGAACAAGACAAGGTGGAGGCAACTCAGGGAAAACTCTGCCCAGTGGCATGACTGACAGGGAGTGGGGGAAATTGCAGGCATTTTCTCAGAAGAAAAATTGTGGATAGGTTTCAGCTCAACCCTCAGCCCTTACCTTTCATGGCACCAGAATATGGCGGTTGATGGGCAGCCAGGTTACGCCCAAGCGGCATGTGGGAAGGAGTCAGCATCGCTTTGCCCTCATCCATGGAAGCATCCAGCAGGGGCAATGTGTAAATGCTGGCCTGAGAGATGGGGACAGAAACCACTCAGTGCTTCCTTCTTGGCCAAGTCATAGCCCCTCACAGTCCCAGACCTTCTTCCCTGACTCTGTACCCAGATTGCCCACCCCACTTCCTTGCATCCCTTCGCCACCCTCAAGGCCCACAAGATTCCAAGAACCTGGCACACAAAAGCCTGGGTCCTTCTGGTTTCGCACTGACTTATGAAGAATGGTGGCTGTCCCAGGATACAGGCATTATGAAAGTTCACAGTGTGATAGAAAAGGAACTTATTATGGTTTATCTCTGTGTTGCAGAGAAGACACTGGATAGACGTGTGAACACTTAGTCCCACAACAGAGCCACAATAAAGTAGGAGAAGCACTTAAGAACAAAAATCTGACTTTTAAAAAAGAAATTTGCATTCAAGATAGAACTGCCTGAACTCTAATCCTAGCCACCTAGACATGTGTCCTTGAAGCCAGGAGACCCAGGAAAGGAAATGAGGTTGATACTTGGAGCCCTAAGAGGGTCATTCTAATAATACCTGCAGGGAGAAGTGGGGGTCAGAGAGTCCAAACAAGAAGAGGGACCTTCCTGGCTGCTGCTGCTGCTGCTGCTGCTGCACTCCCCAATCTCTTCCTGCTCTTTCAGACGGCATACATGCTAAGCGGCGCAACTTGGAGAACACCAGGCTCACATCCGATGGGAGCCAAGCCAGGCTCACTGGAAGACACCGGGAGAACCTTGGGGGGCTCTGGATGTGGAGCCTGTTCTTGCTCCTGAGCTAGTTCCCTGGTGGCATCTGCCTCGCCCCACCCTGTAGCCTCTGATCAACCACGAGGGCTCTGGGAACAGATCGTACGCACCTGCTCTCCCTTGCCATGAGGGCCAGGGGAGGCATACAACTCCGGGAAGGGCTGCCTTTCAAAGGGGCACTGCGGCGGGTGCTGCCCATAGCTATCGCTGTGCAGGTACTTGTGGGGGGTGCCACCATGGTGGCCTTGAGAGTCTGTGCTGAGGCGGCAGCTGTCTGGGTCACCTGCTGAGCAAGCAGAGTCTCAGTTAGCCTGTGGCATTGTCTAGACATCAAACATAAAATGGCCACCAGAAATAACACACTTAGGAAACTGGCTGGGTCAGACTAGGGTGCAAACCCACAAACAATAAGACTAGCAGCGTTGTCCCTCTGCTACTTCACAGCAGAATAAGCCAGTGTTGTGTGGCACAAATCAGCACATGCCAAACAAGTAGATGTAGCTTTTAATGAATCAAGTGGGATTTTTATTGGCCGCCTGAGAACTACCCGCATTGAAAATGTCTATTACAGTATTTGGCTAGGATTGCCTCTCTAGAAGAATGCCAAATAATAAATATATTTGTTAGGTAATAATATGGTAATATTATTACCTAACAAATAACAAAATATGGTAATACAGCAGCAAATCCACCCCCTTCATGGACACCAACCCCTAAGCAATGGCTAAAATTGAGGAAACGTTTTCTGCCTCCCTCTCAAGCTCCAGATAGGAAACCAGGGGAGGCTAGGCTGAATGTATGGGGAGCAAAAACAAGCACCCCTTGCTGAAGGGATGAGGAGTGCTGAAGGGGGTCTCCCACCAGGACAAGACTCTGGCTGGACCCTCTGGAAGTCCCTCCAGAGACTTCAAAGTGAAAGAGGAGGATCAAAGAAGAATCAAGTAAAATAGGGGCTACTTCGATACAGGACAAATGTTCTGTGACTGTGGAAAAATTCAGTCCAAGCAGCACTTATGTGCATGCAATTTATGCCCCACCACATGCATGAAATATGATCTAGCAAACAGCCAGGATAACCCTATTGAAGTAGCTCGTTTCTGGTCAACAACAGTGTAATTATCTTAACAATTTAATTTGTTTTAAATTTCACCTATATTTCATATAGTCCATAATTTTAAATTGTCCAGTGCTAAGAAACAAAGAAAGAAAGAAAGAAAGAAAGAAACGATAGCACTATTGCACTCAAATTCTCCTGATCCACCTCCTCAAAACCCAGTGTCACTTACTGTCCTGGATTTTCCTCTTGCTGTCACTACTGGATGCGCTGATGCCCAGAATGCCATTGATGGAATACGTGGAGCCCAGTGAATCAGACTGCGGAGACTCTGGGGGTGTCACAGCTGAACTGGGGACTAGCAGACACAAGATGGAGTCAGCCCCAGTCCTCAGGATGCCTGAGACACACTAGGGCATTGGAGGCAAAGGGACAGATGGGAGGGCCAGGCAGGCAGTGAAACCATCATCACCATCACTACCAATGTCAGGAAGACCCAAAGACAGAATGGCTTTGGCCTCCTTCGCCCTGACCACGTCCCCTGTCCCGTCTCCCCCCCACCATACACGGGGCAATGGTTTGCTTCGCTCTCTCAGTGAACACCAGGGGAGAAGCCCCACCGCGTGACCTTTAAGGAGTTAAGGCTGCTCTTTCCTGTTATTTTTTACATCCTTTCATCTCATTTTCATACCAGTCTTCAATATGGAGCTGTCAGAGATGTTTACAAAAAAAATTAAAAGGAAATCTTCCTGAATTTAAGACCCTCCAAGACTAACCTATTTGTTTGGGCATAAACTTTCATGGATTCTCATTCCTGCAAAATATTTAAGGTCAATTACATCCTGGGAAGAAGCAGCAGGGAGGCCAGCGGACCCCACAGGGACCCTGCCACAGGCGGGACACACTGAGAACAGGCTGTGGCCCCAAAGGGCACTTCCCCCCCCCCTCGGCTACCTGCTGACCTCATCAGGTTCTTGCAAGCCGAAATGCCTTCATGGTTGAGTCAAGGGAAGCTCTCTTGCTCACCACAAGAGGCTCACGGAGGAACTCCCCTTGGGATGTGTTCCCCTTTCTCCTTTGGATTTCCTTCCCAGCTTTGGATCTCTGGCTCAACCCGCCAAAGCATTTGTGGCCCAAGAGCCGTTGGAACTCCAAAATGATTTTTAAGGTGGTGGAACTCAACACTGCCTGCTTGCAGCTTCATTTCTACATTTGCTTATTAAATGGGCTAAATAATTAATAAATCAGTTATACTTTATTCCATATTGTTAAAACTTTTATCACAGTCATCCTCGGTTGAAGCAGGAAAACACAACAACAACAACAAAGCAGTAATTCATAAAAGTAAAAATTATGTTATGTTTATGGAAACAATAAGAAATAAGTCTGGCAGTATCACTGCCCTGAAATATCTCTCTCTATCACTCTCTTTCTCTCCCCATAATGAGTCAGATCTGGAATATTTGTTTACGGTTCTTGTCATCACACCTAGAAAACAAATATTGTACGCCTGGCAAAAGGACAATTAAAGGAGAGACTCCATTCTGAGGAAAGTCTCCCCACTCCCCCCCCCCTCGATGCTGGATTGTTTCTAGCACACTTCTGACAGACCATTCATGAAGGGGCTTTAATGCTTTTTGTCTTATTTTTTCAAGGGGGGGGCATCTCCTCTCAGCCAAGTCTGGGGGAGCTTGAGTCTCCCGGCCCCCTCTATTCTGGGGTCCGTGATCGACACACTTCTTCATCAGGTCGAGCCTTAATTCTTGCAGGGGCTCAATGGAGAAACTTGGCTGATCCCCTCAGACCACCAAGAAGGATGAACCAGAAACCAGTCCTAGGTGTCGGACTGAAGGTCGACCTACCAAAGGGCACTTACTGAGGCTGTGGGCAGGGCTCAGCGCTTTAGACACCACACAGCTGTCCCCTGGGAGATTGAATGGCTGCTGCACTTTGGTGCGAATGATCCTGGGAAAACAAGAGAGAGATGAAGACCCGAGTGGGCAGCTGTCCAAGGAAGAAGGCCGCTTCCTCGTAGGGTTGTTGTAGTTCTGACAACAGAGACCAGGTGCTGGTCCTCCTGGCCAACGGTAAGAAGGAACTTGCAAGCAAGATGGTCCTCTTGCTGATCACCTAAGGAGAGCATCTCTCTCACCTGTTGATGGAGCTAACACTGGGCACAGTGTCATTGTCACAAACACCTTCTGCCAACAGACGATCCCGGATTTCCCAAGCAAACATGGTCGGATTTTGCCGCTTGTAATCCCCAATCTTCTCCACTACCTTAGGCGTTGCCACTTTGGGCTTAGAGCCTCCAATCACACCCGGCCGTATGCTTCCTGTCTCGTAGTACCTACTCCAGTAGACAAAGGAATAGGATTACCATATGAGCATCAAGAAGATGGTTGGATGTTGCCCTGCCTGCCATTGACTAAAGGCCAGCTACAAGCCTGCAAGCTGCTATAAGCTGATATCTGAGATATCTATTACCAGCCCTTGATCCAGACTGCCCTGCTTCTCCATTCTGCCAGCCAACCTCCCTGCAAGGGAAGCTGCTCATTTGGGCATTGCCAGAGTGCTTAGCTCGGTCGGTGCAAGGGCCTGCTTCTTTTTATGTTCCTAAAAGCCAAAAACATTGGAGAGGAAGACACTATCAACATATACGTTCAGCCTGAGAAGAAACTATACAGAAAGCAAAAAAAAATTAAAAAGAAGAAAAGCAAAAACAGAACAAAACACCTCTGCAAATGGAATGTGGCCACTTTAAGACTAACAGGGGTATACAGAAGTGATTTACAGTATGTCCACCAAAGGTCATAGTAAAATAGATCTGTTAATCTTAATGGGCCACTATTCCTTTTGTTTTCTTTTTGGTTTTACAAAAAAAGAAACATGACTGTTCCATATCAATTTCTCTTGCGGGAGACTCAGAGGGATACAATCTCCACTGACAGTATGTATTTGTGGATAAGAGGGTTATGCTTTCTCTATTGTCTGTTGTGTGTTTGGTCTATTTCAATGCTGCAGGCACTTTGGAGATCAGCAGTTTGTCTCCAGACCCTCTAAGAAGCTTGTGACCCTTTTGCAGAAGGGTTGTCTGTGCTGACGATGGCCAGTTTCTATGTTCTTTGTGGTGTCTTCCTACTTTAGTCACTCATCCAAGCGCTGGAACAGGTTCCCCACCCCACCCCACCCCCTGATCAGACTCCGGAATAAGGGGAGCTCCATCTCGTAGAAGCACCGTCGTCGTGTGCATGGAACATATGTACATGCTGCGTAACCTGCCATAGGAGCTTCTCTACTGAAGATGAGGTGGCCAAGAAAGCTGAAAGAGAAATACTCTCCCGGAAATAACTCTTGAGAGGAAGCATGTGCAGCTCTATGAAAAACACATCAATTGAACAGAGGAGACCACACAGAATGCTTAGTACCATATGGTTAACCTTAGCAAGGACCACCAGGAACCAAGAAAAGTTGTTCCAGGGGTCAGAGACATGTTTGTTTATCATGGCTGTTAGTGTCGGAACAATGGTCTATCTCTCAAGGCCCTGGCATGGCAGGTAAACCCAAATGATCACGGGGGGGGGGGGCCCAGATAATTTTTTAGCCTGGCACACTGTGTTATGTACATTTGGCAAAATGTTAAGTGGAGCTCTCAAAGAGAAAACCAGTCTGGCTTTTGCTCGACTTCCAGAGCCTTAGGCTGGCTGGCCACATTCAGGCTTACCTGCCAAGGATTTTGCTGACACAGCCGTGACTGACACGCAGCTGCCGGGAGATGTCGCAGGGCCTTACCCCCTGGTGTGCCAAATCCACAATCCGTTGCCGCACCACTTCTGGCAGGGGCCGCCCATTCACAAAGGCCCCACCCAGCTGGTTCAGTCCTCCACGGCCTGCTGAGACAGAAATCCATTTCTGAGTGAGGAAGGGGCTAAGTGGAGATCTGCCTCCATTCAGGAATTGCCCAATGCCAGTGGGCCAAGAGACAGTTCATCAAGAATTTGGCTGGCATGTATAAATGCCTTTCTGTGGGTGTGTCACTGCAGGAAGTCAAGAATATGCATTTGAATGGCAATCTAGTATCTGTGATGAGGTCCAAGGATGTGCTATCCTAACTCTGCCTCTGGGCAGCTTTGACCCTGCACACTGTAAGAAAAGTGCAAGAATTTGGCACCTTCTGTTAGGCATGTCCCTTTTATCTGATCTGTGCTCTCACATTTCACCAGAATCTTCTCAAATCCAGTGCAGACTGTCTTGCCGGCTGTATTTGTAAACTATGGGGTGGAGGGAACAGGAGACGAAGCAACCACTGCCTTGCCTCTCAGGTATAAAACAAGAGACCTCCCATCTGACAAACAGTACAGTACTCAGGTGAGACAGACTACAGAATTCTTGTGTCAGTGGTCAGTGCTAGGGGAAAGCCACCATTGCCAGGAAAGGCTCCAGAGAGGCAATTGTCTGCCAGGAATCTGAGGTAGAAGAAAACAGGGAAAAGTTAATGTACGTGGGGGTGTGTGGGGGTGTGTGTGTGTGTGGGTGAGAGAGAGAGAATAGGAAGGGGGAAAGGAAGGCAGAAATAGGAAAGGAAGAAGGGAAAGGGAAGGAGGGGGCCCCACTTCAAACTAGAAGAAGCCAAGAAAAGGAGAGTGAAAAAGAAGCATCTTGATGATCAGCTAGGGAAAAATAAATGGAGACTGGAGTGAACAAATGAGCTTTGAGGAGTTCATTCCTGACACAAGAATAGCAACAGAATTCAGAATGCCTTAAAGGGGAGATGCAATGTGAGACCAGAGCAATCGTTAATTATTGGGGTGAGGGAGAGAGAACAAGTAGAAGAAAGTGGAAAAGAGAGAGCAAGAGAGTTAATGTTTTACATTTTTAAGATGAAGATTCCACATTTTTATATTCTTCCAGTTAATGAGAAGCAGCATGACTGTCCTCTGTTGTCTGCTTCAACTCAATTAGTCCTGCCGGCATCTCTTTGAAGGGTGCCTTTACATTCATTTTTATTTTTTAGATACAGCAGTTGAAGCCTGACATCCAAAGATATATATGTGGACTGTTATTCTCATCTTGAAAACTGAAATTATTTATTTATTTATTTATTATTTAGACTTATATACTGCCCATCTAGAACGTGACTACTGTGAGCGGTTTACACAAAAAATAAACTATGAAAATACAAATATACTAAAAATATACCAATGCTCCTGTGCTTTTATGTATCTACCACAATCTGCTTTGTATTTATCAGAACTTTTATCTAGTCCAGATATGAGAGAATCATAGAATTCAAGAGCTGTAAAGGACTTGATGATGCAGGAGGGCATCATCACGTCCAGCCTCCTGCCCCAGCAGGAAATCTGCAGCTAAAGCATGCCAGTCATAGCACTGTGAATAGCTTTATTTCCCCTTCAATGCAAGACACCCACCCAGCGCAGAAATTGGACTATTAGGGCTAGAACACACACGCGAGTGCGCGCACACACATGCAAACACACCCCGGAATTCCTATCAGGCAAAATCCAAAGAAACAAGTCAAGACAAAATAAAACAAAAAAGAGCCATGTGACACCTTAAAGACTATTATTATATTTAAATGTGAGCTTTCATGGACATGTCCACTTCATCAGACATATGGGGGGGGAATTAAATCTATCTGATGAGGTGGACGTGTCTCTAACTCTAACCCTAATCTTAACTCTTTGTCCCTAACCCTAAAATATAATTGTTAGTCTTTAACGTGCCACCTATTTGTGTCTTGTTTTGTTTAGTTGTTTTGTTTCTTTGGATTTTGCCTAATAGGCTTGCAATTTAAAAACCTTAATTACTTTCACTAATCATTTTTGAACTAAATAATTTAATTCATTTACATTAACACTAGGAGAGAAATTTTAAAAATATATTTCTATTAATAAACATAAAACAAAAACAAAAAGTCTGCACATATGTACACTTAATTGTGCTCCCCTTCCCCAGGAACAACAGGGAGAATCTGTTCCTTCCTTCTTTTAGAGAGCCCTGTTCCCCTTCCAAAAAGATATTGACTCTTGATTAGGAAAGAAATTTCATTTCCCTACATGAGTCGTTGCATTTTAAATAAACAATAAGCAATTTGCACAACAGAGCTCTCCTTCAGTGCAAAGTTTTCCCTCTCTTTAACTCAAAGCTGTTATTCCAAGCAAAACTGTCCAGGGCTGCAAAGCAGAGGAAAAACTTCCAGGCTCTAAATAATTCCTTCTCTGAAAAGGACAGAATAAGAACAAACCTTTTTTATTTCTCCCCAGAGTCTAATCCCATGATCTCTTGGTGGTGTCTCCAAGGGCCATCCTCTCTCTCCACAATCTGCTGGTAGAGACAGTAACATTCTGCTACTGATTTCAAGGTGGTGCCACCATTCCACTGGCTCACAGGCTAGAAATGTTCAATCTTCATTCTTCTCTCCAAGAAAGGAGACTGCAAGGAGTGCAGTTCCTAAAGGACCATTGCATTATCTCAATGAACCAATGTGAAGCTGGAGTAATTGCAATAAAGATTTTTACCCTGTATGGAGCAAGAAATGCTCAGTGTTCAGGTTGGGTTCTGAAGAGGAAGAGGCACTAGATATATTTTTCAAATATACATTGGCCACTGGACCGTACCAAAGAATGTTAGAAAAAGATCAGTCTATGCTTTATGGACTACAGTAGCACAGCCTTTGACGATGTGGATCATAAAAAGTTATGGACTGTTTTGAAAGAAATTCATGTGTCTCAACACTTGAATGTTCTCATGTATAACCTATACTACACCCAACACGTTAGTATTAGGATAGAGTATGAAGAAACAGAATGGCTTCCTGTAGACAGAAGTGTCAGATGAGGATGTATTTTATCTTCCCATCTGCTCAAGTGGTACACAGAAGACATAATAAGGAAAGTTGGCCCAAATTTAGATGATGATGGAGTGAAAACTGATAGAATAAATATTCATAATTTAAGAAATGTGAATGATACTATATTACTGACAGAAAGCAGCAATGATTTGAAATTAGTCCTAGATGCATGTTGAAAAGCAGAACTTCAACCGAACATTAAGAACAGAAAAATTATGACTAGAGAAGAAATATACAGTATACGTTTAATGTTGACAAAGAAGAATTTAAAGTTGTAATAGATATTGTATATTTTGGTTCAGTCATCAGTCCAAATAGAGTCTGTAGTCAAGAAATCAGGAGACGGATGCCAAGATCATCCACAATATTGTACAGTATTTCTACTTAGTATGTATGAATGTATGAAGAAAGCCAAAAGAAAAGGGGGGAAAATCATTCCAAATAAGATGCTGGAGGAGAGCTTTGTAGGGAATGCCAGAAACAGAGAGAGAGAGGCTTTGCTCTCTTGCCCTGGGGTGGAAGTCCTTGAGGGCTCCACCTTCCTCGGGCCGCCTTCCACCGCACGCTTCTCGGCTCAGCTCCGGCCCTCGGGAAGAGTCCGCTCTAAGAGGTCCAGTTTAGGCAAGCAGACATTTTCAGCAATTATATTACTCTCGAGGTGGAAATGAAGAGTGCCGAATATTCCCATCTGTATCCACATCTCCTAATTATTCCTCCGCTGTTTTGTCTTGTTTTCTAATGAAATCTGGACGTTTAAATGTCATCCCATCTTATTCGCTCAGGCGCTGTAACGGAAATAGGCGCTAGAACGTGAGTGGAATGAATGGAAGGCTTCACCGAGAGGCAGAATTTAATCGCGACCAGGCTTTCAAAATTTGTTGGTGGTTCCATGAGCCGCAGCAGGCGACGAAAGTGACCCATAGGATTGTCCCCTTGCCCCTCGACCTCCCGTTTCCCCCTTCTTGGAAAAAAGAATTTTCCGTGATGGGATTCAGCCTATTGACGCGGGGTTCCCATTTAGCCACGTTATTGACTCTGCACCGCAGGAGGGACTTCAAAGCTGCCGAACCTGTCCTGCGAGGGGCGCTCGCCGCCAGCCCCGCCACACACGCACACGCACGCACCCACGCACGCACGCACCCACGCACGCACACACACACACACACGCACGCACCCCGCGTTCTCTGTCCCGCCACCTCTTTCTCTCCCTGGACTTTTTCCGAACTGGAAGTTTTGACTGGGTTTGCACGGACGAGGGAGGGCGGCTCATGACTGAGGGTCTTTTCCACGGCGCGCTGTCAGGAGAGAAAAACCGACCAAGAATCTGGTGGTGGTTCAAACGCTAGCCACCCCGGCAGGAGCTTTCCGGGGCTGCCGCCCCCCTTCTTCCGCGGCAGAGACGAATTCCGCGCCAGCTAAGACTTCTTCGCGCCTCAAGGGCCAGGCGACCAGAGTCTTCTTGGTGGGTTTTGCTGCTGCTGCTGCTGCAACAACAGGTGACAGTCTTAACACACTCTCTCTCCTCAGCTGGGACGGGAGCAGGATCTCGCCCCTTTCAGTCCACCCTACCCATGTCTTTGTCTTTCTTTTTCCTTCATGAATTCTGGCCAGAATCTGTGGATAAGAAATCACAGATTATTATTATTTCTAGCTTTTTTTCAAGAAGCATCTCCAGAGCTGCACTTGCAGCGAGTAAATACGGAAAATGTTTCTTAAACCTGCATTCAGTAACCGCTGCACCAGATGTGCCTCCAATCCGGGACGTTTTTCTTTCTTTTCTTTTTTTCTTTTTCTTTTTTCTTTCGAACTTTTTTTCAAAGCAGCCTGGGGTTGGGAAGACGACGTTGTAGTTTTTTTCCTGCAGAGGCAGCGAAATGTTTCGCGTCCGGCGGCGTGGAGCGGCAGGGCTGATCGGCTCCTACACGGGGGGGTGGGGGTGGGGCTGGTGGTCCTCCGAGGCCCAAGTTGGCTCCTTGCGTTTGAGCCCTTGAGAAGGACTTCTTCTCGCGCAGAAGAGGCGCCGCTGTAGACCCTCCTCAGATTAGCTGGGAATTCACTGACCGCTGGGTTTGTGGGCGAAGCAGGGGCACCGCAGCAGCCAACGAACCACGAAAGCAACGCGAGGGCAGGTGGGCCGTTTTCTATCCTATTCCCTGTCCTCTACACGCACACACCCGCCCAAGGTTTGTGCTTCTGTTCGGTATGAACAAAACAAAACCATTTTGACATCTTCAAGACTAGGAGACTGATTTCAGAATGAGTTTTTAAAGGGATTGCAAGCTACTGTTCTAGACAGGAGTGGGTTGTGAACCACATACGCTCATATCCTCTTGTGGTGATGTGGTTAAAATGGCAGAGGAGGCCACAGGAGACCTGGGTTCGAATCACCGCTTGGCCATGGACACTCTCTGCAGGGAGGGGTAGAACTGGTAAAACGACTTGATAGCACATAACACACATACATGCGCCATCCACAAAAGATCACACTGAAGTAAATTTATTAATCTTCAAGCCGTCGTGACACACCAGCTTTTATTTCTGTTGTAGCTGAAGCAAGCTAAGTAGCTCCTTCTCTGAAAATTCTGTTTGGTCAAAACTGCTTTCAAGGCGTTAATGGCAAAGGAGGAGGAGGAGGAGGAGGAGGAGGAGGAAAGGCATGAGCCTCTCTCCGAGATACCTGGTTTCCTTCTTCTCTGGTGGTTGGACAGTATACGAGGAACTAGGTCTAGGCAGAAAAGGGCTCCCCCTCTGCCTTGCAGCTCCGCTTCCCTTCCCAGGGGCGGCGGGAGAGGCCGTGGCCAGCAGGCCCGTGGCTGGGTTAGAATCGTTTCCACCCCGCGAACATCCACGCAGATTAGATTCAGCGCTGATTTGTCCAAGGCCAGGCAAACGGGCCAGGGGATGCTGCCTCTAAACAGGTCCTGCGCGGCAGCTAAAACGCTCCTCAAGATGTCTGCTTTCGAAGCTGCTAAGGAACTCTTGTATTCCGTTTACAAAATCCATTTGACGCATTTAGGGAAGCGTGGGAGTGGTATGAAACAGGTCCACCCGATTCGCGGTATCCTCCCCATTCAAGAGATCTCCTAAGGCTCTGGATTGTAAGGGTGTCGGGAAGCGAGCAGTGAAGCAGGTTCCATCTTGAACCAACTAAGGCTCTAAACTGCCCACTTACCGATTGTGAAAGAGTGTCCCAGAACAAGGCAGGGCTCGCTTCGGAGTAACCTAAATTGCAAGGGCGCCGATTATTCCAGCCTTTTAATCGCCACACTGGCGGGTGCCTTACACGAGAGTGACAACTCTCTTTCTAGCACCTTCCAAGAAGTCCCCGGGGCCCCCAGGTTGAATGGCGGGCGGGCCGCGGGCCGGCAAGCGAAGGAATTTGGGCTTTGAAAAAACGAGCTCCTTCGTCCTCAGTTACATAATTAAAATAAAACCAGTCTACGGTGCCCGCTGAAGCTATGGTACTTTGGCCATTGGCCATACCACGAGAAGAAAAGACAACGATGCTAGGGAAAGTTGAAGTCAGCAAAAGGAAGGGGGGGGGGTAAGTTTGCAAGACTTCAGCAGACCGCTAGTTCGTAGTAGGGTCTCCATAAGTCAGGAATGATGTTAAAGGCACACAACCACCACCATCATACAGATGTAAGAGTCAGATTCATTTACAATTTTGTAATCAAACATCTGTTATTAGTTATATCAAGATTAAACTATTCTTTAAAATATTCGCAATAAATAGTGATATTCAAGCAACAGAGAATAAAAGACCGAGTATGGTGCATGGTAACATTCCCATGGTTTCTGGCTGGGCCAGGGGGGAAAAACAAAGACAAAACAGGAGTCGAGGGAGAAGCAAAATAAGTTGATGTCTTGAATACTTATTAAATAATGATGCGATTTGCTATTAACCATCACCTCCACCTCTAACTGCAACACCGTGCCAGAGGTTTAAGGAACCCTTTCAAGCGCTGAGTTCATGGGAATATTTTGATTTTATTTTATTTCTCTTTCTTTTTTGGCTCGCAGAGCTGCTCGTTTTCACGTGTAGGAGAAAACTGAAATAACAACAGCGAGACTTCTACTAATGGAGACTTCATTTCTTCCTGCCACCCGGTTAAGAAAGCTGGACGACACTATTAAGGTGGAATATCGATTAGTCTCACTTTATTGACCAGAATCGATAGAGGGGCCCTGCCCTTAGCAACGCTTCATCTTTGCATTCGTCCCTTCAGCTTGTAAAAAGATCCGCGTGGAGAAAGTTGGAAGACAGCTGAAAACGACACCAGTCTCCTTGTGCTCATCCACCGCCACATAGCGGGTTTTTTTTGGGTTGTTTTGTTTTGTTTTGTTTTGTTTTTTAAGGAGGCGTCGTGTTTTCCGGCAGCGAAACCCCCCAATTCCAAAAGGAGCCGCGGCTCTGTCCGAGGCCAGATGCAGGGGAGGGGGATCAGGAGACGGGTCTCTCCTGTGCTCCCAGAGGCATCTGGTGGGGCCCCTGTGAGATACAGGGAGCTGGACTCGATGGGCCCTTGGCTGGATTCAGCACAGGGCTGTTCGGATGCCTCTTCCCCCCCCACCCGGCCTCAGTTGCTCTCAGAGGCCGGAGAAAGAGCCGCTGGACAGTACTCAGCTGCCGCCGCCCT